GGAGCAGACCAGAGTGTGTGTATGGCGGTGAGGACAAGACGGTAAAGGCATGTCGAAGAAAATCAGCATTATCATTATTTTGCTAGGATGTGCCTGTTGTTTCCATCTTCGAGAGGTTACAAATTCTTATTTTACGTTTTCGTTACTAAAACATCCACGCGAAAGATTTCCTAGCCTTGGAGAGTTCCACGCCGGTACTGAGCTGGCTTGCGCCTTGCGTTGTAACAGATATTACACCTGTGAAGAAGCGATATTTCAAAGGGCCTTGAAGAAATGCTCTTTGTATCGAAAGAGGGACAATTGTTCAAGTGGTTACAACGTGGAGGAAAAAGAGGAAAAATTAAGAATCTGGACGATGAAAAAAGTAAGACATTTTGTAAACATAAATGTTTCCTACTATCAAAATCTGGAACTTTTCTTACTTAAAATGGACGTTACTTCGTTAGAATTTCATTTACATATTTCTCTTGAACTGAAATACTTCTGATTTTTTATTCTCTGGGAAATAGTAATGAGCTTCAATCACATATAATATTGGTTGAAAACAATTTCTGCCACTGATTTACTTGGTCTGTTCAATCACAGGCGGCAGTGAATGAGGAGGAAATTTAAGTTTGTTTAAACAACTTCTGATCAGAAAAGAATAAAATGACGCGCATTTCATTGATAAACTTAGGCACAGACTTAAACAAACACTTCTATGACTTTTGAAACAAAAAAAATATTAATCTAATTTTGAGAGTAAACGTTGAAAGAAAAACTAAAAAAAAAAACAACGGAAATTAAAGATTAAACTCAAGATAACAGGTTCTTTCTGTAAAACGAAGGTTTGCAGTTGAAGACACAGTGGCAAAGGAAATGTCAAGTGCTTCTAAAAGGAATCGTTATTCAGGCTCGACAAGGCAGTGTTAACTAGATTGTGATGAATATCAACCCATAAAGGCAACAGCATTAGTGGGATCTACCACCCGCTTCGCGTGTTCTAAATGGGCTAAGCCCCTACTTCTAAATTTTAGAACTACGGGCTCGGTCCATTAGAAATTACTGCGTGCACTGCTCCACAGCAAAGATCGCTGCTATTGGCTAAAACTAGCCAATCAAATTTCCGCGCAATTTATCCAGCACAATTCAAGATGTCGCGTCGGAAGCGAAGGAAGATTCATCATAAACAACTGTATTTTAAAGCAAACTTGCATTCGAAAAACTTTAATTTATTGAAGAAAATTAGGCTATCTGCTTCTGGGAATGCGGTTCTAGGGCCCACGGTTGACTCTGGCGAGTTTGAAGGCAACAGAAGTGTTGGAAATGTTGTTTTTGATCCCCCTGAAGATCAAAAGGAAGAAACATATGCCAAAAGAAAGATATCTTCAAAACTAGGCTGGAGAGATGTGCAGGCCGCGTCACTCTCTCCAAGCAAAAACTAATTAACACTCCTTACATACTTTCAGATCGCAATATTGACAAAGAAAGGCCAGGAGCCGCTCTGTACTTCCAGTGAGAGTAGCGTGAAAGGTATGAGGGGCAATGACAAGAGAAATAAACTAATCTCAGAAAAATCAAGGTAGCACTAAGCATGCTGGTCTGCAATTCCTCATGAGCAAGCCCTGTATTGATACCTCGTCCCTTCCTTCCCAACGGAAAACACTATGGCGATATTTGAGCGACGAGCACAATCAAATGCGTTGAAATTAAGCGTCATGGCTTGGATCGAATGATAAAACTGCCGAAATGATTGCTACGTCTCAGCCGAACAGCAGAGGTTCAGAAATATTGTAAAAGACAAATTTAAAAACATTTGCTGAAGAATTTCTCCTACACTTTCTTGGTATTTGTAATGGAAGTAAACTCTCTTTCATTCATCCCCTTTTCTTCTAAAACCCACTTTGAAGTCTATTGTCTAATTCAACGTAATAGATAGATAAGTTTTACTGCAGAAGAAACAAACAGTGATTACTAACCTGTTTTTTTCCTTGTTTCCTTGAAAGGTCAAAAGTATACCACAGGGGAGTCGTGTCGCGAAATATTCAAAAGAGATAGGTAGGCTATTCAAGGATATGAAGATTTCTGCTGAAAGTAAAGAGGAGGGGTATTTAAATGAATAACCACAAAGTAAGGCCCAATTTTTATCGCCTCGGTTACCCTCGATAACCCACGTCGCACAAAATCTAGTTTACCGAGTCTTTTTTAATACAAAGATTATAGAACATCTTCCCTGGTTCAATAATTCCCACTACTGCTTAACACACTAAAATATACATTGGGAAAAAGGGTGACGTTTTGAAGTCAGTTTCTTTAATCACAGTTCAAGCCCGGGTGGCATCTACACGATCAACATTGGTAACATCACGTGGAAAACAACATGTAAGATGAGAGGCTTTTCCGCATGCGGGGATGGAGTATGGGAACTGGTAATGAAAGTCAGAAATCGGAAGGTATTTGCTTGCATTTGAAATGGCGATAAGCAATGAGGTCGAGTGGTTTGAAGCTCGACCTACTGAACGGAAGTCTCGAATTCGAGCTATAGTCTACGCTTATAGATAGCCGACTTGTTTGCCACATGCCAGTCGTTTTTTCTTTAAGTCTGTAAAGTTTCATGTACAGAGATATACAGAATCCATCGGAAAAGTGTTTGAAAATTTCGCAATCTCAGACCATTAGATTCCAATGAGGTTGTACAATTCTTCTTCTCCCATAGTATTTCTCAACTTTCAGCTTCGCTTTGATAATTTGTTTTAACACCAAACAACAACAAAAAAAGTTGTTTTTACAAGAGTGCATAATTTCCCTCAGCGATTGCAAACTTTCGTACAGCCCTAAGATATATAAGTATAAACAAAACACCAAAAAAACACGTGTCGTCAGTGGAAGTGAGCCAGTGAAATTTTCATTTGTGAAGAAGTTTTTAGTTTTTCTACGTAAAATGGTGATTAACAGAACATTTTCTCACCTCTTAGCAACTTTTCCACTATGATTCACCTCTCTGGACCAGCCAAGCTTCTAATAAATCAGTCAAGGAGGTAGGTGGAATCAAACTTCCTTCATATTGGCTCAGAAATTTCACAAGAATATGTGTCACCATGACCTTTGGACCAAACGCCCCAACCAACTACACAACTATGGTGGTCAACTACACTGGACAGTCTCTGTACTACGTCATGAACGAGGATCTTAAGAAGACATGGCCAGTAGATGCGTCCATCATCACAACTCCACCTAGTATCAACACAAAGTGTTTGGTAAAAGGTCTCAACATGCCAGGGCTCTTCCCATGGGTAATCAAGGCACGCATTGGAATCCAGTCCACTGAGGGGTGCCCCAATTTGCCATATTTGGTCCGTGGTGTTGGTATCGGCTCGAGACAACGACTTAGAATGAGTTGTGGTGATATCATCATTAGTCGTAACAATAGTAATAGTCCACCATATTTGATACAAACATTTCCAGCATTTTGCAGAATTTACATTCAGTAACTGTAACAGCTAAAGGCAAAGTAAAAGACGGGCAGTAAAGTTTAGTATGTATTGCTCCAAAGTTTAAAAGAGTTGTTTCCTTTAGATTAAGTAGCTGTAACAACTGAGAGTTACTTACGGCCCTTCAACTATACAGACTGAGGTTTTGTAAAAATTCATGACGTGGTATCCTCGTGGAATTAAAACGAATGTAACACAATTAAAACGCGGCTTTTCAAAAATGTCTCTTTGTTAGTTATTTGGACTTGACATTTAAACCCTCAGATGACTCATTAATCCGAGGTTGTACAGTCAAGTTTCCCTGCTTGTCTAATGCAACAAAACTGTTCACGATGGACATGTCACCAATAATTCTAGCTATTCAAGAAAAAGGAAAAAGTCCCCTTTGTGTCTTTGAGCCAATTAAATCGAGGCGTCAAAAAAAGAGCATGTCTCCATATTCAATACCCAGTCGCTATTTCTTAAATTCACCCATTACCACGCAAACAAGAGTAGTAAAAAAGGTTTGTAGGCCAGTAGAAGTATGTCAAAGACATGTGCCTGAAATTGTGAGCAAATGAATCGTCTCACCTCAGATAAATTTTACTTACGATTCACACAACTGGATCAGCCAAGCTTTTAACAATCACTGGCGACAAGTGAATACAAACTTCCTGGATATTGGTTCAGAAACTTAACTAAGATATGTGTCAAGATACACGCCTCAACTGGCAGCAAAACTGTAATGGTAAGCCACGCTGCTCAGTCACTCTACTCCGTCATGACTGAAGAATTCAACAAGACATGGCCAATGGATTTATCCACAATCAAGACTCCAACCAGTATCAACAAGGACTCTTGGTAAAAGGCCTCAATATGCCTGGGTCATTCCCATGGGCGATGAGGTCACGTATTGCAGTACAAACCCAGCCGCCTCATAAGTGTCCCACTTTTCCTCGAGTCACGGTGTTGTAATTTAAGTTACATAACGGCACTTGTCAACAACCTTAATTGCAATTGGTTATAAGTAATTTACCGTAAGTAAGTTGCTGTAAGTAGAGAATAGTGTTGCAAATAACTCCCACTCAATTAAAAATATGTTATAAAAAGCAAATAGAACTCCATCAAGATAAGCAATAAGTGTAGCAATCAATTTTAACTTACTAAAACCAGTGGCTGATCCAGGGGGAGGGTCCGGGGGGGGTCCGGACCCCCCCTATCAGACCTGACGCTTACAACTTTGAGACTGAAATTCTTACATTCGCAGCATCGTATATCTCTTTTTAACTGGCTGATTTTTCAAATTAATTAATCCAAGTAAACGGTAAGCGGTCAAGGAATTATAACGTGCAAACGCGACTGGTGGGAGGGGGTGTGGGGGGTGTGGGGGAGAAGTAATTTGCCTCAAAAGAATCCAACAGTCCTTTCTGAACCAAAGTCTGGACCCCCCCCCCAATCAAAAATTCCTGGATCCGCCCCTGAAAACGTACATCGACAAAACGGGTAAAATATTGAAGTTATTTTACTATCACAGCTTAAGCCCAGGTGGCATCTACAAGGTGAACGCCGGTAACCTTACGTGGAAAACAACATGTAAGATGAGAGGCTTTTCTCGATGCGGGGATGGAGTATGGGAACTGGTTATGAAAGTCAAAAATTGGAAGGTATTTGTTTGCATTCGCTTTGATGAAATAGCAATAACCAACCAGGCCAACTGGTCGTTAGCTGAAACAGTTGACGAAACGGAACTACGAATTCTAGTCCACGCTAGCCGACATGTTTTCTCACCCGCCGATTACGTAAAATTTCGTTTACAGTTATACATTGTCACGGTTCCCAGAACAAATGGCCCTAATATCGGGAAAAAGATTGAGAAATCCGGAACGCGAGAAAATCAAACTTCGTTTATGATGCAGTTTTCTATCTGGCTTAGAAATCTTACTGCCAGCTTATTTATGCAGAAGTTTTTCGGCGCCGAACGACGAAGAAAAATACTTTGTTTTACACAGGTGCACGACCCGTATAATAACAACAAACCCGTATAACAGCAACAACAAAAAATCTTACGTAGCTTGTGGTGAAGTGTAAAAGGGGTAAGTTTCTAAAGAAACTGTGTGGCTGCGTCTGTGGGGAAAAAAAAGGTAATTTGGTTTTATTAACTGAGTTGATAATGTAAATTGGCCACCGTAAAGGATTTAAAAGCCGATGTTTCGAGTTTTAGCCCTTCATCAGAACGAATGGAGGGAGGGCTAACGCTAGGAACGTCAGCTTTGAAATCATTGATGGTGGCCAATTTACATAAAACCAAATTACCATGTGGTTAATAGCTCGTTAAATCTGACAAAATGTCGTTTAGCTAGCAGTTTTGAGTTTTAATGCTAAACTTGTGACTAACGGAAAGTGTCTCACTTCTCAGCAAACGTTCCACTATGATTCACCTCACTGGACCAGCCAAGCTTCTTATGTATCAGCAGAGAAGGAAGGAGCGTTCAAGCTTCCCGGATATTGGCTCAGAAATTTCACCAGAATATGTGTCATCATGAACTTTGGTGCAAACCCGTCGATTAACCACACAGCCATAGTGGTGGACTACATTGGGCAGTCTCTGTATTCCGTCATGAACAAGGGAATTCAGAAAACATGGCCCGAAGACATGTCCAGCATCACGACTCCAATCAATATTGATAAGAGCTGCTTGGAAAAAGGTCTCAACATGCATGGGTCATCCCCATGGATGATCAAGTCACGTGTTGGAGTCGCGTCTCGACCAAAAAAGTGTGCTTTGCCATATATGGTACGAGGCGTTGGTATTGGCTCACTACAAAGACCTAATATGAATTGTGGAGAAATCATCATTAGTTACAAAGATAATCCAACCCAAAACTATTCGATACAATCCTTTCCAGCATTCTGTAAAATCTACATTCAGTAACTGAAGGTAAAGCGAAAGATTAGTGGTAAAATTTGATGTCGGTTGCTGTGAAGTTTAATAGAGCACATTTCTTATCTAGATTTAGTGGCTACGCTAATTGCGTTCCACTTTGGACTCTAGCGCTAACCAGAGTTTGAAAAAGGTGACGTTATATCCCTGGGGTGTTAACAAGAATAAAAGACGCATTCAAAGTACAAAACAGCATTTAAAAAAGTCATTTTCATTTAGGTATTCGTAATACACCATATAGCATGTGATTTGCTTAAAAGTGTAACTTGCTTAGAATGTACCCGCAGTGACAGTTAAGGGCAGAATAAATTTTTAACTTCCACTCTTTCGTGATGCATTAATGTCTCAGGGAATATTGAGTACTTTAAAATCTTCAACTTATTCGCCTCTTTGCACTAACGCTGCACAAGGTAGTGGTGGTATCACATTTATCTGTAATTAGTATAAATATTGTAATACGTCCTTGCATATCTTAGTCGTGGTAAGTAATAATAAACTCTTTTAACGACTAGTCCTTCGGGAAACAGTTCAATTTGTTTCCCTCGGAAACATTGACATTCAAGGTAATCAAATTTAACCGATTCCCCAGGAAATACATCGCTGAGTCTGCTTTAGCTTTAGCTTACCAAAATTCGGGTTAAAGAATAAACTTAGGGCATCCATCATTTTCTATACCAAGTCTCCAAAACCAATTTCCACGTTGTTACAAGCGCCTTACGAACCCGAAGCTATGCATTTACACTTGCTACCAAATGTATTGAGTGTAATTCGTTACTCAAGTTTCATTAAAAAGGCACACCCTTTGTGTCTTTCAGCGAATCAAATCGAGGCATCGAAAAAGCGAATATCTACATATTGAATACCCAAGCTCAGTACTGCTAATATTCACCATTACTACACAAACAAGAGCAGCAGTAAGAAAGGTTTGTAGGGAAGTAAAAGTATGTCAAAGACAATTAGCATCACCATTTTTCTACTCAATTGTGCCTGGTGTTGCCATCTTCAAGAACGTTTATCTTCTTATTTTACATTTTCGTTCATAAACCATTTGCGAGAAGGAACTCACGACGTTACAGAGTTCCACACTGATTCCGAGCTGGCTTGCGCCTTACGATGTAACAGATATAACAATTGTGAAGAAGCGACATTTCATAAGCCCTTGAGGAGTTGCTCTTTGCATCAAAAGATTCAAAAAGGTTCCCGAGTTTTCAACACGGACGAAAGAGACGAAAAGTCAAGAATTTGGACGATGGCAAAAGTAAGAAATTTATAAACATACAATTTTCATCTAATCTTTTTTTACGCAGTAAATGGATATGTCATTTCAGTAGAATAAGTATCCGTTTCTTTATGAATTTCATTCTATACATTTTCCTAATCTAAAATACTGCAATATTATGACTCTGTAGAAATAAAGCAATCATACACGTCTAATATCACTTTGCCTCTCCAGCTAAATTAAGTGCAGGCGAAATTGAGGGGATTAATTTTACTTTGTTTATACGACTACTGATAACAAAAAGATAAAATTGTGCGAATTTCAGTACTAAAAGTGAACACAAACTTAAACATACACATCCATGACTTTCGAAATGAAAGATAAGTTTTAATTTAAAATCGACCACAAACATGTAACTAAAAAACGGAAACTATATGCTCTTTCAATTCAAAATCAGGTTTTGTTGTGAAAAAAATTTATTTTAGGAAACGCAATGACAATGAATGACAATAATTACTATGAACAAGGGGGTACTTATTAAGACGCCGCTACCTACAAAAAGTAAATTTTGACAGGTTCCTCTATTCATGTAGATATCAATATTGATGACCAAAGGGCAGGAGCCATCCTATCTTCCGGGTGCTGAGAGAAGTAAAGGAAGCAAGAATGGTAGTGGAGATAAGAAGGGTAAAAACTGGAAGAATTAATCATGGAGCTTCATCGTTCGACTAAGTGCATTACAAAGAGTAACTAGAGACCCTTATACTGAATAGATACTTTGATTAAAAAAAATAATTGCTTTTACCATATCCTCGAGTCATGTTGTATTGGATTTGACACGTAACTAAAGTGACAAAAAAAGCAATGCTATTTGTGAGTAACTAAAAGACCCTTACACTGAATAGATAATTTAATTAAAAAATGATTGCTTATACCGTATCCTAGAGTTGTGGTGTTGTATTAGATTTGACACGTTATTAAAGTTACATAACAGCACTTATTAACAACCCTCATTGATTACAAATAATTTACTGTAAGTCTCTATAAGTAAAGAATGGTGTTGCAAATAAACCTTAATCACTTTAAAAAAAAATGTAATGGAAAGCAAATAGAGCTTCATTAAGATAGTTTACAGGTGAAGCAATCTATAAAAAACACCTATCAAATGAAGATTGGTTCGGCGATAAGATTTTTTGAAACAAAAATATCAATGAAAGCTTGTCATTTTAGGGAAATCAGAGATGGCGAGTAGCCGTAAACTGTGTCCTGCTTTCCTTCAACAGATACAGCCCCCTACGCTCTTTTTGAAAACAGAAAAAATCCTGAGAAGGAAAAACATAATTTTCGTGGCACTTAATTTTCTTTGAGAAGGACAAACTTTGAAAGAAATTCTTAGCAAATGCCGGGGATGGAATGTACTTGTTTTCAGGCGGATTTCAGAGTTACAGATCAATACTGCATTAGGAGTAACCCTTTTAGTTACATTAAGTCTTACATGAAAGCCTTTTAGCGTCAACGCATGATTGCACTTCTAATTTTTAAAAATTTTTACTTACGCCCTTTCAATCCTCAAATCATTTAAATACAGAAATTGGGATCAAACTTTTGTCGAAAGCTTCTAAGAGTAGTTGCTCCAGTGCTGTTCAATTAAATCACTGACGTCAAAATTTTAGAAAATACTTCTATGCCTTGCCATGTAGATGAAAAATTTTTTTCTAGCTTCAAAAGATGAGAGCACTGTCGTTATCAATCCGAGTCTCAATCATTATTATGGCAAGCCTTTGCTCTGTTCAATTGCACACGTTTCGATCTTCCTGGGGATCACCAGAACGCTTCTATTCTTTATTTGGGATCAGTACGACGATTAACGACCGATTTCTACATCCTTGTAGGTTGCCACTTCGACGAGCCATTAGCGGGAGTCATTTAGTAATTCTTCTGCTGACAAAGGTTAGGTAACAGTGGAACTGTTTCCTGCTGCCTTCACTGACAGAGACAGCCATATCCACTCTTGTAAAAGCAGAAAAATCAATGGGTTGCAATGCATTTCTTTTCATCCGGATTTCGGAGTTGCAGATCGAGACTACGTCAGAAGTAACGACGCCTTTAGCGTTAATCCATGATTGCACTTGTTAATTTTCACAATTTACTTAAGCCTTTTTAAGCCTTTAGTCATTAAAATGGCGAAATTGGGGAATGTCACTTATAAATAACGTTTCGTCGAAGGCTCTTAGGAGAAGAAACTCCGTAGATGTCCCATTAAATCACTGACCTCAAAACTTCAGAAGATACTTTAAGGCCCAGATGTAACAATGTAAGTAAGTAAAGTCTGTTTACGAGCCTAGTGGCCCATTAGGCCGGTGCTTAACTCCGGTTTCTGTAGCATGAAGCGACTAGGAGTATTTCTACTCCCCCCTGGATGGGATGCCAGTTCATCGCAGGCTTACCCCCAGCATTAAATTGCCGGTACCCATTTATACACCCGGGTGAAGAGAGGCACTGTGAGAGTAAAGTGTCTTGCCTAAGAACACAACACAATGTCCCGGCCGGGGCTCGAACCCGGACCACTCGATCCGGAGTCGAGCGCTCTAACCATGAGGCCACCACGCCTCCACAGATGTAACAATAGGATCTTTCCATTTCATGTCTCTCGTCCTGTAGATAAAAGAATTACTCTCTAGCTTCAAAAGATGAGTGCACTGTCGTTATTAATCCGAGTCCCAGTCATTTTTATGGCAAGCCTTTGCTGTGTTCAAGCGCACATGTTTCGATCTTCCTATTTTAAAATTTCATCGCAGACTGATCCGTATACAGAGGAGGATTTCTTCCTCACGAAAATTGTTCACGATGAACTAAGTTGCGCCTCGACCTGCAACGCCGCGCTGCAGGTCGGAATATCCACTGTCATTCTGCAATGTTTGAGAAAAATTCAAAGTGTTCTTTACTAAAAGCCAAAAGAGCCTTGCAACGTCATGGTACAGATGAATCTGGTGATACTAGAAAGATAGTTCTGGAAAAGGTAAGTTCAAGGCATGCAGGCTTGTGAAGTTGACGAATCGTGTTCATCCCCTAAAATGGTCACAGCTTGCAGTACAAGCAAAATATTTTCAACAATAGTATCTCAGTCCCATGGTAAAATATTTCAAATTAGTATAGAAAACGATATTTCATAGGAACTGACTCAGTTTAAAGAAAGGTTCCATTGGTAAGAGTCGCCGGTCAAGAATTGTACAGTGAGGTCTACAAAGGTAAATGAACACTCTAGACAATTTTCTCTTTATTTTGACCACGGTTCGCTGACGTTCTTTTAACATTTACCGCCCAGAGCGCAATTTAAGGTCCCGGACACGAGAAGACACACAGGACTTGCACTGTAAGTACCTCGCAGAGCTTCATACAACTCCTTACAATAAAATTATATGGAATTGTATGGAGCTTTTTCAGCATTAGTCGAGTGTTGTCACGTATGATCCTCGTAAGGATCATACGTGACAACACTGACCCGCTGCGCCACGACTAACGCTAAAAAAGCTCCATACAATTCCTTATAATAAAATTATAAGGAATCGTATGAAGCTTTCCGGGATACTTACAGTGCAAGCCCTGTGTGTTTTCTCATGATGTCGCGTCATTCTGGGCGATGCAGAAGTTGAGGAATTTCTGTACTCTGAAAGAAGTCTGCCCTTCCCGGTAGTAGATAAAAACAAAAAACAAAACAAAACAAAAAACAAAACGTATGTACAGTTGCATGAAAGCGGGCGGTATCCTCTCCAACTAGCGAAGGGATCATCAAAACACTTCATATGGGATCAGTACAACAATTAACGACCGATTCCTGCACTCGTGTAGGTGCCCATTTTGACGAACCAAGAGCTTAGTAGTTCTTCTGCCGAGAAAGGTAAGATTCTATAAAGTGCTGCAGAAAGTAAGGATGTTCTAGGAACGAAAGCATTGCCCTATATAGTTGGTAGTGCACTATACAAGATAAATTCAGTTTTAGGCCCCATACACATTTGCGAGTTCTCGTTTGAAAATTTCATAATTGATGTTTTTTCT